ATATTAATTAATACTACCTATACGGGGTTTTTTGAAATAACTCGCTTGAAGATAAACAAAAATTAGTAATTAATATTTTTTATTTATTCAAAATTCATTAAGAAAAATTAACAGTAATAGGAATTATATTGGACTGCTTTTTTACCTTTCTACAAGTTTTTGTTAAAGTTTTTGCTTAAAATACATAAAAGTTTTTCGAAAAAATAATTTTGTCAAAATGGGCAGCTGAAAATAATTGTAAATAAATAAATAAATTTTATTTTTTGTTCAAACAATTAAAGAGAAGTTGGCACTTTTAAAGTGGAAAAAAATCTTGAGGTTGCAGATGTTCTGAACGGAAATTAATATATTTTTGTTTGTACAATCTGCGTCATTCAATTTAGCGGGAAAAGATTAATTTAAGAATATATTTTCAGTAAAAACAAAAATTTTACTAAGAAAAAATAACAAAAAATATATTTTTTAAAAATTAAAAAAATCTTAACGTAATTTTAAAAAAAAATTATTAATTGTTAATAGTTGAAGAAAAGATTTATTATACTCTTTATATGATTAATATAATTCGCATTTTATATCCGTAACAGCGCCGAAAAAGGTTTAGCCTTTCATTAAAGGAAACAAGTGGAGGATAAAAAAGAAAATGAAAAATGTTCAAAGAATTTAAAGAATCACACACATCCAAATATGCCCGCAAATATTTTTAATAATTCTGCAACAAGTATGTAGATATTTAGGTGGTAAAAGGAAAGGATATAAATTGGAGGGATTTAAAGAATGTATGGAATGTTGCCAAAATAAATTAAATTGGAAAATTAATTTTAAATTTGTATTGAATAAATTATTTAATATTTTTTTAAATTTATTTGAGCAATTTAAAAACAAATTAAAATTCCTAAAAATATTTTCTCACTCTCTTTTGTCATTTTGAAATCACTTTATCGTTCTTTTGTTTCATGCTCTCGTAAGATAAGACAGTCTCTATATTCTGGATATTATTTATTCTGTTAACGAAACGTTTTTTAAAAATATTTGTTTCGTTCGAAAAAATTTTTGGGTTTCGTGCAGGTATGGTTCGACCTTAACTAAAACCACAAAACCAAATCTTATTTTGGAGTTAATCTAACTCCCATCCAAAAATTAAAAGCGACAAATTAATGGAATGACTTCTAGAAATTTTTATTCTTAGAAATGAAAAATTTATTAATAAATAAAAGATGAGTTGTAAAATGTGAAAGAGAACAATACAAATAAATAGTACTATTTTCTTTTTAATTAACAAATATGTATTCTGTTCACTTCTTTTTCTTTTTTAACCTGCATTGCTGTCAACAAGAGCTGTTTCGAAATTTCGATTTTTGAGGTATTTTCCTTCAATTTTCGATTTCGACTTTCTAGTGATATTTTCGATTTTCGAATTTTTGAAAAAATTTGAATCGAAATTTCTGGAAATTCTCGAGATTTCCAAATATCAAAATAATATAACCCAACTTCCCGAAATCCATTCTATACATGGATTACATCATATAGATGAATAATTCCTTTTCGAGTTATTACATAGACTTCCATTGAAGATTGTTACCTAATTATTAGTTTTAAATTTGTTAAGTTGAATTTGAGACGATTTTTGTGAATGTTTGAATATAGTAAAACGAAAGATAAGTTGTATGTATATTGCTAAAGATATACTATGTATATTTTAATAAATTTATTTTGTTTATTTATTATCTTAATCCAGGGATATCAAGGGTTATTTGAACACGGTCCGAAGAAAATTTTTAAAACCGAGCCGAAACCCGACATTTTTTCTCAACCCATGACAACCCTTATATAAACTCAACGTATTTAAAATATTTTACTCTGCTATTTAATTTAAAAGTTTTTTGAAGCTAAAATTTTTTTAATTTTTTTTAATATGCCTAATAATCTTTTAATTTTAAATTATTGTTAAATTAACATTTATTTAATTTCAAATATAGTTCAATTCCAATAAAATAAACATTTTAATTTTAAATTATTATTTAAAATATTCTAAATTTAATTTTTAAATTGTTACATTAAAATTCCAAGATTTTAATGACGTTTTTTAAACATAAAAAGAATATATAGACACACAAAAAGTTTTATCTTCTTCTCTTTTTTTTATTTAAATTTATTTCATCATCCATCTAATGATACCTTTTAAAATGAAAGTCGAATCCAATTTACCCAACACATATCTGAGAATATAAATAAATAAAAATATATTCCCAATTGTATATTGTATAACACACAATTATTTTTTATTTTACGTTGACAATTCGTCTCCTCCTCTTTTTTTGAAGATAATAATTAACAAAATATTAAAATTAATGTATATAAACTAGGTATTTACATAGATTTGTTGATTTTTAAAAAAGTTTTTTCATTTAAAATCTTTAAATTAACTTTGTAATAAATTTTAAAAATATTAATTTATAATAAATTACCGTAATTTTTGATAATAAGATTAAATTTTTATAAATCTCTAACTAATAAATTATAAAATTGTGTTTAATATAGAAGAATATCATTATTATTATCATTATTTAATTATTTTTATTTTTATTTTAGAAATACAGATTTATTTTTTTTAATTATCTCATTCGGTTAATTAATAGAAAGTTAATATAGTTGAATCTCTCTAGCATACATCAACGGGAAATCTGTGTTGCTCACATTTCAATTTGTTAAGCCTCGCAAATTATTTCCAAATATATGTCATTTAATCATGTATAATTACCCCACACCCTTAGGATTGAAATTTTTAATTAAAAAATTTTTGGGTTGATTATTGAGACAGGGCATTTTGTGACTTCTTCATAGTATTAGTCACTGTTAATGCTACCTTCCCCTTAGTATCAGTCCCCTTACATAGGAGAGGCTTACATAGGAGAGACTAACAATTCTGTTTATTTTTGCATTCTCTTTTTTAAAATTTTTAGATTATTTATTTTAATTTTATAAATTAATCCTTATTTTCCTCAAAAAACTTACTGTACAGAATTTGTTCGGGCAATATTTGAATTATTACAATTTAGTAAAATATGTGGAGATGATTTCCAAATTTTTGAAGTATTTCCTCTACAAAGCCAAGCAGTCACCTAATATTTATTAAAAAATAAACAACTACAAATTTACTTTCTTTTTTGCTTTCCTTAATCGTTTTTTCTGTCTCTGTTGTAAATCTAATTCTTCTCGAAATCTCATTGCATCGAGAAGAGTTTCCACCTTTTTTTTAAATATTTTTTTAATTTTAATTAAAATTAAATAAAAACTTCTACAGTAGACCAGGAACGGCGAATTGAACGAATCATTAAAAGAAGAATAACTGATGAAAACTTTAAAAATAAACTTTAATTTAAATTAAATATTTAATCTAAAAAACCATTAATAAAATAGATATTGTATAAATCATTCTTCCAATATCTGAATGAAAAGCTAAGGGGGAAATGCTGTTAATATTATTGTTATTTTCTTCAATATCTTCTTGTTTATTTTGTATTATATTTTCTTTTCTTTAAAGTTAAATTAATTTATTTTTAATTATTTTTTAAAAATTAATTTATTTACTTTAAACAAAATTGTTCTAACTGAGAAAGGCATGAACAAACAATATTTTGTTTTATATCGTTAATAACCATTTCATTTGAATTATTTAATTGTTGAACTAGAAAACATAATTATTTAATTTAAAAAATTATTTTAGTTATCTATTGAAATTTATCTATTAAAATACAGGTTTTAGTATTTTACCTCTAAGTCCGGCCAACCTAATCCTAGGATTCTGATTTTTGCCAGAAAATAGGCAACTCTTTTAGGATCATAGAAAAATATTAATCAAAGTCTGAAAACATTTAGTTGAATTTTAATAACTATTTAATCCTTTTACCACAAGGGGGGCTAATTATTTATGACACAACCTAAGTACCTTCTCTGCACTTCCCTACTACATAAAAAATGTAGAATTATTTTTTATTTTTACAAAAAAGTCTTGAAATTTTTTAATGAAAGCAATTAATTATTTTATAATATTTTAAAATAATTAATTAAAAAAAACTTTTAACCTTTAGGAAATAAAATATTATGTAATGCCTCAGAATTTTGCTGTGGAATTGTTTGGATGGATATAATTTGTTGTTTCATGGCAACAGTCTTTTTAAAATGAGAATAACGTTTTTAGTAAAACATAAATACAATTTTTAAGTCTTTAAGTATTAAATATATAAAAGAGAATAAAGTAAATATTAAAAGTGAAATCAATTAAAAAAGGAAAAATTTTTTTAGTTAAAAAAATTTTATAAAAAAAATAATAAAGAAATAATTGAGGAGAATAACAAAAAGCATTGTTTTTAGTAAGAGAGAGACACTTTATGTAGATTATTGAACATTTATGTTCAATCCAATTTGATCAAATTTATACGCAATAAAATAAGTGACATTCAGATAAAATATTGTATCTAATAAATTTAAAGTATAAGTGATTTGCTAGAGTTTTTTTGATCTAGAGGATAAATAGTTTTATTGTGATGAATTTTTGTTTAAAAAAATTGGAAATTAACTAGTTTTGTTCGTTTTCCTGTTGTTTCTTCAACTAATTTTTTTAATTTGTTGACCGAATACATACATATCAAGAAATCTATTAGTACACTGAACTTTTTAAAGAGAACTTTCCAAAGGTGAAATAAATTTAATAAGTGAAGCTCGGCTTTGGTTTTTTTATTTTTTTAATAAAATTTTAAATAATTTATTTTCTTTTATCATTTTCTCGTCGAAGCTCCATACTTATCAGTTGATAAGTTTTGGGTATTTTACTAGAGTTAAGAATTAAATTAATATTTTACGCTAAAAGATTTGCGTCTACTTGGCCTGCGCCTATTTGGGCCGTACCCCTTTATTAAATTAGTAAATCATTTTTAGTTGTGTTGATAAGCAAGATTCTTATCAAAAATATTTATAGCTTTTCTTATTTAAATTATTAAAAAATGAATTTAATTAATTCCAATGGTCAATGTTCTACTATAGTCCAAGCACTTCTTACTGACGAATATCAATTAAATATGGTAATTTATTTTATTAAATATTCTTTTTTTTTAAATATTTTCAAAAAAGGCGTATTCTTATTGGCAGCAAGGAATTCACAATAAAACAGCTCGTTTTGAATTATTTTTTAGAAAAAATCCTTTTGAGGTTTTGTTTTAATTTTAATTTTTTAAATTATTTTTTTAATTTTAAGGGGGAATTTACAATTTTTGCTGGTTTAGAGGATTGCCTTAATTTTGTTAAAAATTTTAATTTTACAGAATCAGGTTATTTTTAAATGAGGGCAAAAATTGGTTATTTTTAAATAAAAATTTATTTTTTAAAATAATTTTTAAAAAAAGATTTGGAATTTATTTCACAAAAATTGGCATATGCTGATAAAAACTTTTTTGAATATCTTCGACAATTTAATTGCGAAAATATTATTTTACTGGCAATACCCGAAGGCTCTATTGTTTTTCCTAGAATTCCTTTAATTATTGTGGAAGGACCTTTGGCTGTTTGTCAAATAATAGAGACGACTTTGCTTAATTTGGTTAATTTTGCTAGTCTTGTGACTACAAATGCTGCTAGATTTAGACTGGTTAATTAATTTAATTTTGTAATTAATTTTGAATTTCTTACCCTTTTTCTCTAAAAAGTTCGATTCTTTTTTGGGTTTTATTTTTTTATCGAATTGTTTTAAACATTATTTATTACTTTTGTAACTAATATGAATTTCGGGAGGCCATATCTTGGCCAGATCAAAAAACGGGCAAAAACGGCTCAAAATCCTTGCTAGAAAGGGCATATTCTCTATCGAATAAGCCCGGTCTCGACCGTTTTTAGGTCGGACACCTCGCAACCTCTCCTTGTTAGTCTGGGTCATTTATCTAACAATAAATTATTTAAATGTTTTCATAAATTCAGGCTGCAGGTGATCAAATTGAACTGATGGAATTTGGATTGCGTCGAGCTCAGGGTCCAAATGGAGGATTGTCTGCATCTAAATATTGTTATATTGGAGGTTTTTCCCGATTAAATTTTTAAAATAAAATAATTTTTAAAGGTTTTGACAGTACCAGCAATCTTTTGGCTGGCAAACTTTTTGGAATTCCCGTATCTGGAACAATGGCACATTCTTTTGTTACTGCATTTAAAGATGAACCTTTAAATAAATCAGAATTAGTTAAAAAGGATTCCGATGAAAAATTAGATTTACAAAAAATATCAAAAATTTATTTGGAAAAAATATTCGAAATGGTTTGTCTAAATTAAAAATAATTTAAATTTTCTGATAGTTTGATTGGGGTATATCAAAAGAAGGAGTGAATATTGGTGAATTAAATGCTTTTTGTGCTTATGCTATTGCTCATCCAAATTCATTTGTAGCTCTTATTGATACTTATGATACATTAAGGTTGTTTTTTTTTAAATAATCTAAAAATAAAAAAAATATTAATTTAAATCGAATCTTTGTTGATTTTTAACATTTTTATAAATTTAAATCAAATCTTTTTTTCAGAAGTGGTCTTTGTAACTTTATTGCAGTAACATTGGCACTTAATGATTTTGGCTATAAATCGATTGGTTGTCGAATAGATAGTGGGGACTTGGCTTATCTATCTAATGAAATTAGAAATAGATTTAAATTAATTGCTTCAAGGTTAGAAAAATTTTTTTTGAAATTAATTAATGAGGATATGGGGCTCTACTTTTTTTTCTTTTTTTACCGCAAAATCTTCCAAAACAATTTAATTCAATTCCAAAATGTCATTATCCTCTGCCAGTAGTATACTAGGATAGTCAACGATAGAGTTGTCGTTTCTTGAAAAATTTTCGGATATCCGGAGCCGAACCAATATCCGAACCGAAAGATCTTCGGTTCGGTCCAGAACCGACAACCCTAGTCAGTAGATTTGTCTAATTTTGCTAAATATTCTTGTATTTTTGTTTTGATAATTTTTATTTAAAAGTTTAAAAATTTTTAGTTTTAAAATTGACTGGATAACTAATTTAAAAATTGTAGCATCAAATGATATAAATGAAGAAACAATCCGTTCACTTTATAATCAAGGACATAAAATTAACACTTTTGGTATCGGCACACATTTAGTTACTTGTCAAAAGCAGCCAGCACTTGGATGTGTTTATAAATTGGTTGATTTAGATGGAGAACCGAAAATTAAAATAAGTGAAAATATTTCAAAGATGACAATACCGGGACGTAAAAGTGTATTTCGTTTGTATGGAAAGGCTGGTAATTAATTTTTGAAATTTAAATATTTAGTGACTTTTTTCAAAAAAAATTATTCAATTCCATAAATTCAAAAAAAGGAAAAATTAAAAAATGAGTTAATTTTGTGATCAAAGATTTTTGGCAAAGTTTTGACTCTAATTTTAAATAAAAAACATAAACATTCCTTTAAAAAATTTTAGAAGGGAATCAATTATTTAATTAGAGATATTACTAGTCTATTGACAATCAGATTAACTAAATTTTGTTGAGTATTTGAAAGAACAATTTTTAAATCTGGCACTTTCAAATAAAAAATTAAAACGTTTTAAGTCGTAAACCAAATAAGAACTATAGTAAATCTATTAATTTTTTCTTTACATTTTATTTCTTTAAAAAGAGAATGTAAAGTTCATGTGTTTTAATTTAAAAAAATATTTTAAGGGTTTCCATTGGTTGATTTAATGATGTTAGAGAATGATGAAGAACCTAAAGTTGGTCAAGAAAAACTTTGTATAAATCCATCCGAGCCCAGTAAACGTGCATATATTATTCCACAAAGAGTTGAAAGACTTCATAAAATTGTAAAAATTATTTTTTTTAATTTACTAATTATTTTTTAAAGTATTGGAAAAACAATTCTGTTCAACAAGTTTTACCAAACATAAAAGAAATACGTGAATATACTCACCAATCATTAGCTAATTCACGTCCAGATCATCTTAGACCATTAAATCCAACACCTTATAAAGTATTTTTAAAATCGGATTTTTTAAATAAATTTATTTTTAGGTTTCAGTATCTAAAGAATTATTTGATTTTATTAACAATATTTGGCTTAAATTGGCTCCTGTTGGTCTATTACAGTAAAATTGCCTGAATAATTACTTCAAAATCTACTTATTTAATTTTTATTTTTCAATTTTAAATATTCACTTAATTAAAATACTTAATATTCCTACTAAAATTTAGGGTTGTTTTTCCTAAAATGAAATAATTATTTTTACGATCTTTTGATTTCTTTTTATAATTAAATATTTTTGGATTTTTACAAATCTGGGATCACAACCCTATTATAAATTATCTCCCTTTTTACAACCACTATATTTTACAATAGACACCATGTAGTATTTTTATTTTAATAGAAATAAAAAATATAGTTTCTGCATTTTTCATTTACCTATTTAATATCATGAAAAAATTTGCTTATTGTTAATTTTTAGTCATAAAATCAAAGGAATTTTAAGATTAAAATTTTGACTAATAAAGTTTGCTCTTAAAAGCCAGCTGCCATTATGTGATGGATATTTTGATGGAACCTTTTGCTCCCCGTTTTTTTATTTTTACTGGCCACTAGTTATGGGGGTTAGTCCAGCTATTTTTATCCTAATTCGCCACCCATCCTCCCTCATTTCTCGGCTACCCCTTAACTGCTGCTCATTCCTTTCAACCGCTCAGCTAGCGCACCTCCAACCACCTTCACCCATTCTTCAACTCGTCCGCTTTCATATTCCCCGCTTTCCTCCACTTTCCTCTCACTTGTCAGTCTTTTTACTTCATAGTTCCGTCATCGCTATTTTGCCCCTTCAAACCAGCCCAGAGCACCCCACCCGCTGCTCATTCTCCCACCGCCACCCTTCCCCTCCCCACCTAGTACTAGCCTCTTTTTCGACGTTGTTCCTCTATAACCACCCGTCCCCTTATCGATTTGGACCCCACCAGAGGCTCAACCCGAAGGGAAAGAATTGCCTAGGTTTTCATCAATATAATCTCATAATTGTCTTAACTTTAAATTGAGGAGAATTTATTCACGCACACTTTGAAACCAAAAAGTTTTTGTTTTTTGAGAGACAGCAATTAGCAGTTCAAAATATCTTACCCATATTTTTTAGTAGCATTTGTGGTTGGTAGTTAAGGTGGCGCAAAAATAGGGTGTCTTTTTTGCTTACCCCTCCATCTGTCAATTCTCCCACATATCCCTGCCACCCACCCTTCTCTTTTCATCTCTTTTATTCTTCTCCGACCTCATCACATTGAGTTCCCCTTCACAATGCCTCCTCCAATCCACAATTCTTATCCACCAACATTTCCCATAGCCCGCTCTTCAATCCTTTCCCCACATCCTTTTCGTCAAGCTCATATACCCGCGCTTTTTTACACCCAGGGCCGATATGTATCGATCCCTCTTTTTTACCCCACCTCCGCTTTTCATACCCCTCCCATCACACAGCAGTTTAGCTTTCAACCCTCCTTCACTTCTCACGTTAAGTATTTTTAGTTTTCTATTTTCTTTTCACTCATCCTAATAAGAGATATATAAAATCCCCTAATTATATATCCAGCATATATTAATTAATTTCCTTATTTTTTTGAGTAATTAAAAGAAATGAATAAATTATTTGATCAACAAAAACAACCGCCAGAATTAAATTTAATTAATGGATTTGAAGGGGAAGAGTCAAAAGAATTTAATAACCTTAGTGATATTGAACAAAATAAAGTACAAATGGAGGCGGTGGCAGCAGCAGCGGCATTTCTCCTTTCTTTCCCCAGTGAAAATCCAACAAATAGTAAAATTAGTCAAATAAACGGAAAAGAGGAAAAACAAAACAGTTCTTTTAAAACAATAATTAGGCATCCACCTTTACAACCAATATCACAAAAGGGAAATAGGTGGATTCATTTGGGTACTTTCGAGACTGAAGAGGAAATGCATCGTGTTCGAAATAAAGAAAAAGTATGTAAATTACATTGAGAGAAAATTGAAAATGCCTTTCTACATACATATAAAAAATAAATTTTTATAGGTATCCAAGAGGCGGACAGAACAACTTAAAAATGGTGTTAAAGTGAGTGGATAATAAATATATTTTGTAGTTAAAAAGCATTGTTAAGTATATATGTTAAGAATAATTGTGAAAGTCTGAAGTCCCAGATTTTTTGATTAAATTTGGGCTAATAAAGTTTCGAGAAATTAAAAAAATTTTGATGACTTAGTACGAATTAGTTGTGATTTATATATTTAAAAATAATTTTTTAAAGATAAGATATAGATGTAATACTTGGAAAAGAACTAAATGTGCCTTTCAAATGTTTAGCTTTTTTAATCCTAGTGATGGATTAATTGATCTATATGAATGTGGAGAGCATGACCATTCGGGGAGGTAAATTGTGTTGTAAAATAAATTTAATAGATTAAAATTTAATAAAGACATAAAGAAAAGATATTTTAGTCATTAATATTTTCTAATTTAAATTTAAATAATTTTCAAAAAAAATTTTCAGAAGAAAATTGGAATATGAATTGTATGGCCCAATTAGAAACAGAAATTCAGCAACAAATTTACCAATCCCAAAAGAATTTATTAATTTAAATTTAAATAAATTAAATAAACCAAAAAAATCTAAAAATGAAAATATTTCAACAAAAACAATGTCCTTTCCTTTATTTAATTTATTTAATGATATTGAAAAGACTAAACAACTTTTTAATTTATGTGAAGATTTTGGAATGAAATTATTCCAAGAAAGGTAAAAATTAATTAATTTTGGTTCAAATCTAGACATATGTATTTTGAGATAAAAAATAGGAAAACCTTAGATTGAACCTTAAATTCCCTTGATATTTTGTGGGTGAGGTTTGGGAATGAGGCTTACCTGTTTATTAGCCTTTTTTAAATCTCCACAAAATTATTTTATTTTTTACTTCCTAAAATAAACTTTTTTAGTGAAAATAAATTTTCTATTCAAAAAACTGACAAAAATGGAAATAAAAGAATTATTTTGACAATTGAAGAATTGCAAAATGAATGTAAAATAATTACAAAAGAAAATACAGAAAAATGGGTAAAAGTTGATTGGGAACAATTTAAATGGGCATTGAGGGGAAAACTTTCTTTTATTTTATAAAAATAAATTAATTAAATAAATTTTTAAATTATTTTTTTTTGGTAAACAGAAAAAAGGATTTTAATTGCTAATTTATTTTTATTTTTTATTTCACATCTTTTCTCTAGCAAAAAATTTTTAAATGTTATATAGAATGTTTAGAAAATTATAAATAATATTTTTTGTTATTTTAATATTCGCCTTTTTAATTAAAAAATATTTTTTAAGAATTTTTATGTTTTTAAAACCATCTTTTAAATTAGAGTAGCACCCTGAGCCTTCGGGGGCGGGATCATCGGGGATCGGGACCGAGAGTAGAGCCTTCGGGGTTCGGGTCGGGGTTTCTGACTAAAAATCCGTCGGGTCGGGGTTTCAGGGAACGGGGTCTACCCTATTTTAAATTAAGAAACAGTTTTAGTACATTATACTTTAACCTAAAACTATATTACACCAATATTACCCATTCTATTACATATCCAATTAATAAAAAAAACAATTAAAATTATAGTAAAGCTTGTGCTGGGCCAGGATGGTGTTGGGATGTTGGGCGGGTTGCGTGCGATGTTGAGGGTCCCGAGAGGCGATGCCGATGAGTATATTGCGGAGCGGAGGGTAGGCCTTTCTATGCGCTTGTATAATGCTGGTCGGTTACGAGACCGACTTGCCCGGGAATAATATGCGCTGATTAATAAGCTCTAGGCTTCTTCTGCAGGATTAATGAATAAGCTCTCAGCTTCTTCGGCCGGTTATTCACTTTTCTATTGATTACTTTCCAACTGACTGGTGAATAGTCGACTGATCCCCTTTTCACTATTTTCCACTTAGTTTTATCCTAAGGCCTTATCTGTCAATCTCCTCCCCTTATTAAATCCTTTCCCAAAGGAACTAAAGTTCCTTTTCTCCATCCTTGCCCATCCGGATCAAAGTACGCCTTACACCTCCAACCCCGGGGAAGACCGTCCCCTGGTCTTTTCTTAATTTCCCAAATTTTAATTTTATTTTTCATTTATTTTATTTTCAAACCCACCACAATTTACAGTTTTACCATGTGCCCCAAGTCTGTGCCTCCATTTTCTATCTTCTTCTTTTCTCATCTTCTTCTACAGTCTCTTGCCAAGTGTCCGGGATTTCCACATCTGTTGCAAATAAGTTGTCCTCTTCCTGTTCGTAATTCGCCACCACGTATTAGATTAGCTTCTTCAACTTTCACTTCAATTGACCTTCCTTTTAAATCATTGAGTACTCCATTCGAGTCGCGTGTTGGTTCCTCATTTTCCATTACTTCTAAATATCGTTCGTCAACAAAGGGAGTGTGTCGTTTTGCCATAGTAATGAATCTTCTCCACGTTTCTCCTCGTATGGATTCAAAATCGGCAATAATGATTAATCCGCTTTGTGCCCTGAACAACGCTACGGTGGCGCGTCTGCTATCCTTCAAAAAGTCAGAGACATCGGCGCGAGCTGCTGATCCAGGCGATTTAGTGCTTGTTGTCACAAGAATGATTAAACGGTGCTCGCGGCTTTGAAACGCATCTACAGAGTTCACAGATACCTGCAGATTTTCTTGGTAGAGTCTTTCCCTTATTTTTTCGCATTGGTACGTGTATAGGCATATAATGGCAACACCTTGAGGATCTCGGTGCTCCAGCGCTTTTGCAATTATAATAGCGGCCTCAGTCTGTTCAGGTGAAGAAAGAGAGTAGGAGGCGCTGTCTTGCTCTATCGTTCCTCTTATATTTAAAAGTATGAGTGGAACGTCGTTCACCGGAAGATTTATTCCAAGCTTTGTCAATCCTGTGCGCTTTGATGCGGGAACTGCGATTACTCGTTCGTCGTGTTTTTGATACGAGGAATAGTTGAAGCATTCAGTTATAATGGGATGCGAGCGGTAACATCGTTCCAAGATTGTGACTGATACTCTTTCGCAATTATCCATTTGATCAGTCACGCTTTCAAGACCGTAACCGCTTTGAATTACTTCT